GGCCAACTCTTCTCAACCTGTGGGCTATAGTAAAAGCTGCATCCCACAAGCAGGATGTAGCAATCTTCTGCCAATCTCCCTTGCTCAGATAATTCTGGATGTGAATCAAGCTTTGTGGCTTGACCTGCAATCGAACTTGGCTTTGGGCAGCCAGGGCTGGGGCTGCCTGTGCCTCAAGGGCTCCCAGCAAGTGGCCCTTGCTGTCTTCAGCTAAAGAACTACCAGACACAGCTTCCATCATCTTGCAAAGGTTGTCAGCAGTCCAACCTGGGTGAGCCTGCTTTCTGCTTTGCAACTGCTTCACCAAGCCAGCTTCCAAGCCTGAGCTGGGCCTCAAACTCACAAGCCTTTCGATGGAGCCCAACTCCTGGGCAAAATCATCAGCTGTCCATTGTGCCATGGTTGGCAAATTGCCTTGGAAAAAACTATGTCCACCACACACATGCCACCATGTCATTACACAACATGTTCATGCAATGTGCTTCTGCTTGTTCTGCAAAAAAAAACAGCACAGCTAGTCTGTGCAACTTGACCCTGCAACACATGCACAAGCAAGCTTGCAGCACATCCACACAAGCCATGCCTGGCTGGCAAAGAATTCCAAGCAAATGTCTCTGGTGCATCAACAGCTTTCATGTTTTTAAAACTGCTGCTTCTGGCTTTAATCCCTCTCAGCTTGGGCTTCCAGGGAAATGCCTGCAGGCACTTTGACACACATGCCTGACACAATGCAAGCTGTTTAGGCAACATCTTGAAGACAAACTTTTCGCAGCACCCACGCAGAACCTTCCAGCAAGGTAAAATATGATGTTCTCAAAAAAACAACAAAAAATAAACTACATGGAAGCAACAACTTTTGCAACACCATCACAACAAAATATGGTTATTTCTTTGCTGCAGCAAGGTAGCATTTCAGAAACATAAAAAAAAAAAACCTTTGCCAGAAAGGCGCAGAGAACTTACTTGCGCAACACCAGCAACCTCATCCAGACTTCCACCCTCATCCCACTCACCTGGCACCAGCCAAACCTTGCAGGTGCTCAAGGCTATACACCACACACTCTCACATTCACAAAAGACTTTGCAATACCATGCAATTCATCAAAATTCTTGGAAAATGATGTCTGATGTTGGATCATTAATGAAAGTTCTAGGAAAACAGAAAACATTAGTTCAAAACAAGTAGTTTGCATAGCAAACTTCTTTTGTAAATTTCCAAAAAGTAGTTTGCGTAGCAAACTTCTTTTGTGAATTTCCAAAAGGTAATTTGCATAGCAAACTTCTTTTGTGAATTTCCAAAAAGTAGTTTGCGTAGCAAACTTTCCTGTTTTAGCCTTTTAGTAGGACATCAGCAAGAACATCAAACAAATTGCACATCAACTCTTGTTATATTTGTTTTTTCTTATCAAAATTACGCAGCAAGCCTTCTCTAGGAAGACTGACATGACAGCAAATCAAAGGACATGCAACTCCAAAAGCCCTCAGTGAGGACTGCCGTGCATGCGCACAAAGCCCTGAGCACCAGGACTGACAAGCATCACCAGCTCCCATTGAGAGCTACCATGCCAACATTCAAAGCACACACAGAACACTAGCAACCATGAGAAAATCGTGGGACTCTCAAGTATGCTAGCCACATACTCAACTCACATCTTCTTTTTGCTTCCAGGCGACATGCTGGACTGCAGCTCTGCGATTGCAAATCACGAAAAAAAATGCTTGGAGTCATGCAGGGCAAACACACATCACTATTTATACAGATTGTATACATCACCAAACATTTCAGCTAAGGTTGCAATCCCTAAATCCTAAACCCTAAACCCTAAACCTTAAACCCTCTTCCAACCTTGACACCTGCATGCCAGCCCTGCATGCCAAGTCCTATGCAGCTTGAGGATTTCCCCATTTGTTTTCTATCAGCATGCAAACATATATGATTGCTGCACATATATACAAAAACCCTATCCTCAAGCAATCCCAGCTGCTTGCAAAATGCAGTGCAACTGCTCTGCGAATTGTGCTGCTCTGCTACAAATCATTTTTTATGCACCATTTATGTTAGCATGTGTTAAATGATGAAGATTCAAATTTCAAGGTGTTTCGGAATACAAATTACACTGTTACCGAAGCATTGGGATTTTCAGCTAAGCAGCACAACTCTACTAATCATATTGGGGATCCCATCCATGATTGGCAACACGCTGCTTGTGCCTTTGCAGCCTGCTGGCCAAATCTGGGTCCTCTGTAAACTTCTTGATGAGATAGTTCACCCTGCTGGTGTCATGGTTCTGAATTGCTGCAATCAGGGCTATAGTTCTGGGTTGCCACCCAGATTGCAGCTTCTCACTTCTCTCGCCAGAGCTTGCAGAATTCGAAGGCACCTTTCTCTTCAAATTCGGCTTGGGAGCAGGTGGGGGTCTGTTGACCCCCCACCATTCGAAAGCATCCTGAGAGGATGCAGGAGGTGCATCTTTGGAGCTGCAGGAGCCTTTGGCTGGGTTGGTGGTATGGGGGCTTCAGCTTGCTTGCTGTCATCCCAAGACTGTCATCCCATGACCAGCCATCCCCTTTGAATGGCCCTTTTGGCATGGAAGCACTTGAGCCACCAGTCATGCTCTGCCTGGGGCAAGCTGCTGAGCCACTCATCCCACTCCTGTCTGCTGTACTTCTCCACACTGGCAGACAGCCATTCTTTTTGGCTTTCAGTCAAGCCAAAATTATCAGCAGGCTCCTTGGGCTCAGGTTGGGCAGCTGGCTGCTGCACCTCTTGAGGTGGCTGCACCCCTTCAGGTGGCTGCACCTCTTGAAGTGGCTGCACCCCCTGAGGTTGCAGCAGGTGCTGTGCAACTGCACCTGCAACAGCCTCTGCTAAACTAGGAACTTTCAAGTCCCCAGCACCACCAAGTCCATGGCTAGGGTCAGTCATGGCTATGCCACAGCAAGCTGCAGAAGCTACTTGCTGCTGATCACTTAACATGACACATGCTCTGCCTGCATACAACATGCATGCTATTATTGACTATCCTTTTATATCACCAACATGCACATGTTCCCACAAGCTCCTGAGCAAACCACCTGCTAATCTGACATATATTGCAATGCCATCCAATGGATGCCCAAAAGCCTTCAAGGGACTGACAAGCACAATCATGCATGCGTGCAAAAGCTCTCACATCAGAACTCACAAGTGACATGCACACAAGCCCTTCAAATGGACTATCAAAGAATTCAAAACAACATGCTGTATAAGCCCACAAGGACTGCCATGAGAAGGAAATTCATATAAAGCTTTTCAATAAAAGCTATGAATTTATAAAGCTTTCGACTTGAAGTTTCGCAGCACGCAGGAAAGCTGAAGGTTTTGTTAAATGTCTACAACTTGAATTACATGTATGTGACATGTGAAGGGTTGGTAATGCAAAAAACTTTCTTTTCACCTTGCAAGCTGTGGGCGATCAGAATTTAATCCTCCTGCTCATCCTCAGAGCTTGGTGCTCTGGCAACTCGCCTCTTCTTGTAGGCTCTCTTTTCCATGGGAGCTGCATCCTGCACATGCAAATTCAACACATGAAGCTATTCTTCTGCAAGTAAGCCAGCACAGCACAAACCACTGCACTCTCAGTCCTTCAGCGCAAGCTTGAAAAATTTTCCAAGGTATCATCATTGAACAGCACAAGGAGGTCTTTCTTTGGGCTGTGCTTCTCAGCCAAGCCAATCTGTATGCCCTCCACTGTCACATACTCTGGCAGGTCCACAGTGACAGCAGTCTTAGGCATTCTGGGCTCATCCTCACTTGAGGCGAAAAGTTTCTCACCTCCTGAACTCTGAGAGCTCTTCAGGTGGTTCAGGACTGCCCTGTCCCTCAGCTCTTTGAGCTCCTCTACCCCTTTCGAGGAAGTGAGACTGCCTCTTCCCTCTTCACATCCCAACAACAACTTCACAAAAGTCCTGTGTGATGGCTGGAACTTGAGGTACTGCAGCCCAGCCACTTCAACTACAAACTCAGCTGGTAGGGTGGCTGTGCGACCATCCCAGGTCAGGGTGTACCTGGCGCCAATGATTGGCGTGGCTTCCACCAACCCTTCTACCTAAACTTTCAGCCTGCGCCTCCACAGCTGCAAGATACATAGCTTGTGTTTTAACAACATGGCACAACCAGCAGCAAAAGCTGATCACACGTTGAACTTGCACAAGCAAAGGGAAGCAGCAAAAGCTACTAGCATGCTCATCTGACAAACACACATTCCCAGATGTCAAGCTTTCTGGCATGCACAAAATAAACAAGTTCATCAGCATGAGCATGCTTTGCATGCAGTTGAACACATTTTTTCAGCATCTGGGGCTTGCTTCGAAGCTGGCGCTGTAGGCCCATGCCTATAGAGCACATTGGATGCATGCAATTTGCAATGCTGAGCCCACAAGCATGGTGATGCTTCACTATATCAAAAAGCATGTGTGTGTGTGTTTAAATGTACACAGGTCACCTTCAGCTTTGTTGATCTAATGCCCATGTGCTCCTCTGCTCGAAAACTTGAAAGAGCACTAGCCAAGCTCTGCTTAGGGCTTGCCTTTCCTTTTCTTGGAAGGCCCTGCAGAAGTTTCTGTAGAAGCCTCCAGCAATTCTTTGCTGGCTTGCAAGAGCAGGCTGTGCTGAGAAACTTTCTTGGTGTTAACAAGTGTTGGGACAAGCATTCCATGCCATGTCTTCCACTGCAAGGCCATATTGACCAAATCATTATCATTGGTAGTCTTCACCCAAAAGTAAGGGATGAGGACTTGACTTGCTTCTGTCCTGAGCACAATTCAAATCACAAGGGCAAAGGCTTTCATGCTTGCTTTGATACATTTTTTTATGAAAAGGATTTCAGAATATGCTTTGTATATATATAATATACCTCCATTTACATGTAGCACAGTGAAACCATTTTCAACAGGTATTTTTTTGCTATGAAAAATACTTCAAACCAGGAATGCCTGTTATTTACTTGCTCATTCCAAATCTAATGCTCATCAGCTGCACAAGCAAAGCATGCCAAATACTGCGCGAATGGCCCTGTCTGTGCAAAGTCTTTAAGGGCTGTGAAAGGAGACAAGCTGTACTTGGTTCCTGCCCACTCCACCCACACAGCCAACTTGCTGTTGTCCTTGGCCTTCACAAGGTTGCAGAGTGGCAGAAGCCTGAGCTTTCCTGCTCCAACGCTGCAATCTGTCTTGGCATACAGATTGGTCGGGAGGCAATAATCCAGGGTTTCAGCTGTCCCTGTGTTGTGCTCCTCGAAGATATTGATCAGCGTGGCCTGGGCCTCCACCATCTTCCTGTTCTCTTGCAGCAAAGCACTGGCACCGAAACTGTGAGCTGCTGCTGCAGCTTGAGGGCACAAGGTGGGCAACTGCAGCCTTGTGGGCTTCCACTTCTTGAACTGGCCAGGAGGAACCATGATCACTTCAGGCTCACCATACAATGGCTTGTGCTCGAATCTGCCATCCTCATTCTCCAGGCCCATGAAAATGAAGATCTTGTCAGGATGCTCAGAATTGACATACCTTATTTGCTGGGATGTGTGCTAAGTACATATATTATATACCTACAAAATAGCATGGATTTTTGAAGCAATAAGCACATTCTGTTCTGAAATAATCGAAAAGGAGAAATGCATGCGTGCGCCCAAGACACTTCCCATCCTCCTGCAGCTGCTTGTTTTGCAGCAAGGCCTGATGGCCCAAGGTCAAACCAGAAAGCAAGTCCAAAGGTTTCTCCTCATCTTCCTTGCTGCTGGCAGCAATCTCACCTGCAGGCTTGCTGCCTCTTGCCTCCTCTGCAAAGAGCTTGCAGATGTCTTCCAGTGAGCGATGGCCCTTAGGCTCTCTGCCCATCTTTTCCTTCTTGCACAAGTGAAGGATTGTTCGAATGAGCATTCGCCCAAAGGCAGGAATGACATCATCATCATGCCCTTGTGAGTCTTGGATGATCTGCCAAGCATCATTCAACAAGTGCTCAGCTTTCAGCAACTGTGGCCTCAAAGAAGGAGACTTGAGTTTGTCAAGGTCTGACTTTGTGATCAACTTTGCCACACCATCTGTCACCTTAGGGCTTGTGAGTTGGCAAGCCAAACAGCCTGCCCTAATCAGTGGAAACTGATTCGAAGGCTCATTGACTTCCCAAAAGGCTATGGCCTTGAACACCTCCTCTCCCACAGCTATGGTGATGGACAAATTCTTGCAGAACTTGTTCAAGAAGCTGATCACTGGGAAGGCTGCTCCACCCCCAAATTGCTGAACATAGTGGCCCACAACCTCAAGGAAAGTCTCCCAGAAATGCAGAGCAGGGCTACCTGTTGAGCAGCCTCCAGCTCACGCACTCCCAGGCCGACGCTGTGGGCTGAGTTCAAAACCATCTGCAAGAAGGCTGGCAGAGATTCCACCAGCTGTTCAGCTTTCCAACTGATAACCACCCAGTTCCAGCCAGTCGTACAGGCATCCTTCAAGCCCTCCTCATCCTCCATGGTAAGGATGCCTTGCCCATGGGGCTTCTGGCATCTCATCATGGCAGCCTTGCAAAAGGCAGCTGTGTGGCTGGATGAGATGGTCATCGCCCTGCACGCAAGCAATCTGCAACAGAAAATTCAAATCAAAAGACTGACAAACAAAAAATGCTTAACTTGAAAAGCTTGATGGTGGCCTTTCAGTGCCCAGGACCGAAGACAGGAGCCCACCACTCTTCTGGGCCAGCTGCTGGTTTGCAGCAACCTGCTGCTCTCGGGTTCGCTGATCAGGACTCAGTTCAATGCAAAAGCTGTCCTGTAGCAAGCTTTTGCGAAAACCCAGGGCAAGAAGTTTGGAGCCTTTTTCATGCACGTCCAAACTGTTCACCATAGCTCCTCCCCGATTATGGGGATGAATCAGCAAGTCAGTTGGTAGCAAGGTTGCCACATGAGCAAGCTGGTTCTTCTTGAGATAACCAATGAGCTGGTCAAGTTTCCTCAATGGCTGGAGATTCTGGTTCTCCATGATAGCCAGCATCTCCTTTGCCATTGCTACATCCGGCACCGACATTCTTTGCAAGCTTCTCTGTGACACTGTCTTGCATATATGAGTTTCTGCATGAAGGCCCTCCACAACATGCATGGGTTCTTTTGCACGCCATCGGAATAAACACTGTCTGAGCAGGAGGTGCGCACGCAAAAGAATGTGAATCAAAACTCCAACGCAAATCTGCAAGCCAGCCTCATTGAGACTTTCATGCTGCATTGCATGGGTGCAAAAATCCAAACATGCAAGCCCCCTGTAGACCCTATACAACCCTATATGTGCCCGTGTATAACCCTAAATATGCCATGGTGAACTTTCATGTTGTGTGTTACATGCCCACATGCATGTGAACATGTTTGATATACAGTGCGTGGGAGCAAAGCAAAAAAACCTAATAACTCACAAGCCTTTCAGGGCTGGCATGGAAAAATACATGTGTCAGATTCTGTAAATGGCATGCTGGACCTGAATGACAAAAGCCTGAGAAGACTGTCATGCTTCATGCATTTAGGGGATAAAGAATCCACTGATAAAATCGCTAATTTGGCTAACCTCTATGCTAAAATTACTAAAATTAACATAAATTAAGTACTTTATTAATTTTTAGCTAATTTTTGTAAACATCATAAAAATTTACAACAATTGTAAATGGTTAGACCCTATTTAACATATGGTTAGATATGGTTTAGTACCCTATTAGTAAACATGTTAAACCCAGGGAACATCTAAGTAACTGCCGTGCAGTTTACTGCAGAGACTGCTGCCGTGACAGGCACAGACGTGCCGTGCGCGCAGACCAAGCCAGAGAAGCGGCAAAGGGCGCCCGCGGCGGCAACAAAGGCCAGGGCAAGCACAAGCGCTGAGGGTCCGTGGCCTCCGTTGAGGATAGGAGCCGTGCTCGCTGATCCTTTTGCGCCCGTGTCACAGGCCGCTGGAGCCGTGCCCTTTTGCAAGTAGCGTGCGCAAAGCCGCTGCAGAGCCGCGCTGGAGGCGCATAGCTCTTTCTCGCAAAGCCCCAGGCACCTGTGACTTCGCTTTGACAGCAAAATAGCCGCATTGTATGTGCCTCGGCTTCCTTGTAGGATAGGCTTCTTGAGCTTTTTGCTGTGGTGCTGACACTTCAACGAGTCTGCTGTTTGCATCGTATGCTGTACTCTTGTAGACTCGGGTACTGGAAAAGAGCGAGGCGTGGTCCAAGCCATCCGATTTCACCCAGTCCGTGAACTGGGGGAAGGCAGAGTCATCAGTGTGCGAAACTGGCTCAGGGTCGGCTGGCACCAACTTCCATTGGATGCCGGATGCTGGCTGATTGGCTGTTGACTGTCCACGGGGTCTTTTGAACATGTCTTCCCGCACGGCGGGCGGCTGCGTGGACAGTTGCAAAGTTGCCGACTTGCAGGAGAACTGGCTGCCACGGACATTATCCGGGTAAAACGTCCCAAACTTCATCGCAAGAAGCACTTCCTTCAAAGCACTGTCGCGCACATGGTGCGCTAGGAGCCTGCGAGTTTCCAACGGGACTCCGGCGGACGCCGCCCAGCTGAGGCTGGTGGCCTTAAGACTGTGGCTGGATAGCTCCGGCCTCGTCAAAGGACGGGACGATGCTGCCGAGAGGGATGTCACCAGAATTGCTAAGACCCAGGTACGACCTTGCTTCGAGCCAATTCTCCACCAACGGGGCAGGCAGCTGCGCACGCCCATGGCTGTCTTGCTCCTTTTTTTTGACTGATGACTCAATCCACACGGTGGTTCCTGTAGGGTCGAACCAGTCGATGCAAATGGACACGGTCCTGGCTGCGTTGCTAGCACGGGCGCAAGCAAAGAGCATAAAGAGCACGGCTCCTGACAGACAACATCCTCACAATTCTGCCCCGACGCGGCGACCAGTTCTATGAAACGCATCGACGAAAGAGAAAGCGGGCGCCCGCTTAGGCGGCGGGGCCCTGGCCTGGAAATCTTTGCAAATCCCCGCTACGCGCGGACTAGAGAGAAAATCGTCCTTAACATGCAAGTCGACGACGCCTCGACGACTGAACCTTGTCTGCATTAGCAACGTTTACAAAACGGCTGCGGACACATGCAAGAAAAAACGTGCTTCACAAACAACATGATCTCAAAAAGCAGCAAGCAGCAAGGAAAAACCCACGGGGGCTGGGAGCGAGAGCCAGAGAAGCCAGCAGCTACAAGCTTGAAACAAAAGGCTGCAGACATACGTTCAGCTGGCATACGATGCGTGCACAACGTGGCCAAGTACATGTCAGCAACACATGTGCACAAAAGGTGAAGTACGACGTCCAAGGTATGACCAAGCCACTACTGCACAAAATGAGTCAGCTGGCCAATCCCCTAACAATGATGCTGGTGGCTTTGTGGAGGCACTTGCTATGCTGCACGACAGCTCGTCGAAATCTATCTCTTTTGACTTTTCGGAGCAGAGGCGCACAATGTCGAATCCGTCTGGCCAAGCAACGACTATGCTCTAAAGTTGGAACGGCAGTGTCTCTTCTGTCCTCATCGTGCCACGGTTTGACGCAAACTTTCAGGGCCACGGACCCGGAAACGGAGAATGGAAAGGTGCTGTCACGGCTGACCGTGTCAGTGAAGAAGACCTTGCGCCTGACATTGCGCTGCCCGCAGCCAGGACGCAACGATCCGTGATCGTAGTCTTGCCTTTTTGGTGCGTGACGTACATGCACGCCATGAGTGGTTGCCTTCACGTTGGCAACAGCGAGGAGCGTCACCTTTGCGGCCGCAAGACAGGGCTGGGTTTTTTTTGACCCCC